TCCTGCCACCGGGTGAGGCCAGTACAACAGAGGTGACCACACGTGAGCCTTGTCCCTGCTCAGCAGCGACCCTGTGCAGGAAGCTGGCCTTCCCCTACATGCCCATCAACACTGGATTCAAGAACACTGCAGGCTGATGGTCTCTCTCCCAAGCGTACCATTTACAAAGCCCTCCTGGCCCCACCTTCTGCCTTCACCAGACAACCAGTGACAGAGGCCAAGCACCAGTGGCCAGCAACAGTGACCACATGTGCCAGGCATCTCCCATGAGCCAGGGCCCGCCTCCTGTTACAGATGAGGACACTGAGGCTTGGAGAGGTGGCTGACTTATCCAAGAGCCCCCCCAAGATGAAGCTACAGTGGGACCTCATGCCAGTCTGGGACCCTAACCACAGCATCGCACCCACCTGCCCACCCGGCCTGTCTGTAAAGAGCCTCAGGAAGATGACTGTGTCGGGGAACAGAACGCAAGAGGCTGAAGATGCCAGCAATGTCGCTGGGCCAGAAAAAGAGAAAAAAGAGAAAGAAAAAAAAACCCACATTCTGGGATACATGAGGCTGCAAAGCAAAGATGGTGAATCCTCACCATAAGAGGAAATGGGAGATGCTGTTTATAAATAAATTGTTGAGTATTTGTGTTGGAGAGAACCCAGTGCCTGAATTCAAGGCCCTTGTGTTAATATTTACTGAATCGTAATGGTAAGATTTTCACAAGGCAATCTGGGTTTAGACTGGGGAGGCCTTTGGCTAAGAGCCTTCCAGAAGAGAACAGCATGATTGGGACAGAAGTTCTGGCAACCCCGGCAGAGAGATTAAGGCTGGTTTAGAGGGTTCTCGATATCTGCAGATCTGCCTCTGAAGGCCAGTGCGGCTCATCCTTAGAGACAGTCCTGTGGCCGTGTAACCCTGGGCCACTGTCCTCAGTCTGCTGTGGCCTCCAACACTTTGTGACTTGGTGACTTGCATTTCAGACATCTTAATAATTCTGCGTGTCCACATCTGCTGCTGCTGTTATGCAGGATCATACTTCAAGCACCCCGACGTGCCACGGTTTAAAGCCACTATGTCTCTATTGCTCACAAGTCAGCAATCTGGGCACGGCTCAGCGGGGATCTCTCGGCTCTGAGCTCAAGGTATTATCTGGAGCAGCCCACAGGCTGGGGGCTGGGATCTCCTGAAGCTCGGTCGCTCACACATCTGGCCTCCTTGCTGGGAAGACACAAACGGCTGGGGCGGGACCAGCAGCCTCTCCCTCTGTCTCTAAGTGTTTTCTCCCCTAAGATGGGGGCCTTCAGACCTTTTTCCTGTTCATCTAGAACTCCCAAGGTGTGTATACTGAGAAAGCAGAAGTTGTGTTGCTTTTGATGACCTACCTCAGGAATTTACAGCATCCTTCCACCACATTCTAATCTACAGAAGCGAGAAGTAGACACCCTGTTGGGTGAAGGAGGGTGCAAGAAGTTGCCAGCGTCACTTCCACACACCACGGTGAAGGGAACACCAGCCCGGCAGGGTCTGAGCTTCTGAGGCAGCTGAGTCTAGAATGCTCCTCAGCTTTGTCAAAGCAGGCATTTACAAAAGCCCGAAGTACAGAACAAACTCTTTCATTTAGACCCTTGTGATTAAGAACCTCTCACCATTTGAACATGAACAGGGCAAAACTTCAGAGGCACTGGGAGGAACGTCATGTGCGTTCTACCTGTGAGAGGTTTGTGCTACAGCGTCTCCCCCCGGCGGGGGGGGGGACAGTCTGCAAACTAGGTTACGCAGCAAAGGCTGGACTGATTCTCGTGCGGAGGCTCTGGTTTTAGACAGCTGGGAGTATGAATGAGAACCCACTGACATGCTAATGAGCAGTGTTCTTCTCTGTCTCTTTTAACCTAGTCCCAGAGGACTTCTACTTGACCACACTGTCTCCTCCACACGGGAAGTCGCCTTGGAATGACCACATTGGTCATTCTCAAAATAGTCTAGGATTTAAGCATCCCAGGAATTCAAATTGGCTTTTGCTGTAACTGAACCTAACCGGTGATGTCATTTTTGCTGAGTTTATTTATAAGGTCATTTAAAAATATTCTGTGACAGAGGTTTTCAAAGCGTGGTCCCCTGACCACACCAGCATCCCCCTGGGAACCCGCAAATTCCTCTGCCCCCTCCCAGACCTACTCATCAGACACTCCAGGGCGGGGGTGGTGCAGCAGTCTGTTTGAACAACGTCTAGGGGATGCTGGGGCAGACTTGAGTCTGAGAAACCGTCTTGCAGGTGGGGGGGAGGAGACGGCAGAGGGAGAGGAGGAGGCCCCCCAAGCCAGGGACACATTGTAGCCGAGTCTGGGGTAGTGACATATGATGAAACTCGCATGATCTGATTCTCTGGACTTGCACAGAGAGAGAACAGAGATGGAAAAGCACAAAGCTCATGGGTGGGAGGAACCACCTCCTGCCAGTCTACGTACTCAGGCTGTTACTGGAAGAAATCCAGGCCCCCAGCCAGAAGCAGATTCTCCCTTCAATGCGTCTTTGTCATCTTGGGAAACTGCTTCGGCTCCTCTGATCCTCAGCTTTCTCCTCTGTAAGGAGGGCTGGGTCGGGATAACGCGGGCTAATTATCCTTGAATCCTTATAAAGCTCATTAATTCTCTTATCTCATTTAATCCATGCAACTGACCTGTGATGTTATTATTGTATGTATGATTATTAGTATTCCCTTTTGACAGGGTAAAAAAAAAACTAAGGCCCAGAGAGGTTGGGTAACTCACCTAAGGTCACACAGCTAGCCCCCATCTCAACCATTCAGTACAATTTGGAAGCTGTAAACCTCAGTACTAAGGATTGTAGGAGAATAAGTTGGTGCAGAGAAAGGCAGGGCCAGGACCCTAAGACCCCAGCAGGCTGGGCATTCTGACTCTTGCTTGCCAGGCTGCCCCTGGTGGCTGAGGGTCCCCCAGGCTGAAAGAGCCAGGATCCTATCAGATATCTCATCCTTTGAGACCACAGGGAAGGGGGCATGGCAAATAGTTCAAAGGCAAGAAGAAGAAATTGGTTCCTAACACGTGTTGACAGAGCCCATTACCCTGACATCATGTTTTGGTAAAATGGCAGTGACACTCTTTGCTTAAAAAAAGGGCTGCCTGCTGGTAGGAATGGGGCACAGAGCCAGGGATGCTGGGGGACAATGAGGACAGAGATGCTCCACAGAGAGAGGCTCCCAACAAGGCCCTTTCAGTGGTCCCAGAATCACCTCCCCACAGTGTGAACCAGAACACAGCACTCCTGGCCTCTGGAACTAGTAATAGCGCCCCATTCCCTCCAGAGTGAAGTCCTAGCCCACTGTGACTCCATGGTTCAAAGCCACCTGTGATCCCCCCGCATGCCTTTCTGACCTCACATCCCTCTGTTTCCTTCTGTGGGTCAGGGGCCGCTGCTGATAACCCCCCGGCACATCCAAGTGCATTTAAAACCCTCCCTTTCCCGACCTCTGCATTAAGCAGCATCTGGAAATTTGGAGCCAGGAGCCCCTTGGATATATCTTGATGATCCCCAGACAGGTGTGGTAGATGGACAGTAAGTCCCTTCTGTGTGGGAGGAAAGGGATTGGAAATTTCATTCTGTGAAATTTGGAAAGAAAGACAGAAAACTCACTTGGTTCTCAACAGCCCGAGCCAGAGAGTCGACACTTCCCAGCTCTGATGAAGCAATGTGACCATCTATGAGCTGCGGACCATCACCTACTTTTGGTTCAGACCCTCTGATGAGAGCCGGGCAAGCTGGGGCTCGGTCACACACAGAGGGACAGGGTTTCACTCTGCTGAAGGACTCATGCCCTTCATTCTTATGGGCAAAACCCAAGCCACAAATCCAGCACGTTCGAAGGAACACCGTCAGGCAGCCTGGAGCAAGTAACCAAACACATCCCCCATCTAGACATGCGCTCAACCACGACTATGCTTAGGGACCGCTGTCAGTACCTGCACATTTTTTTCAGATGGCTTTTCTCCCCCAATTTTCACCATGTTCATTCTTATGTCCTCTTCCTATACAGAGTATATTAAGTATACCATTAAAGTGCATAAAGAATACTAAGTATTTAGGCTCTGAACATAGGCCTACTCATCTTTACATAGCAAAACGGCAACTATCTCTATCTGGGCTGATGTAGGGTTGATGCTGAGTAAGACAGAGTATTCACATCAAGGCAGGGGCGGCCACCATCCTGTGGGGGTGGCTGGCCAAGAGCCGAAACTGGTGATATCACCTAAGTACTTTATGGGACAAGAGAGAAAATAAATGCCCACTTTTTTTTTTTGAAATTCAAAATATAACGATATAATTAAGCACAGGCTTTCATAATACAGTAATAATAGTCACCTCGGGCCGTGACAATGCCTGCCTTTTTCAAATTCTTATCAGTGGAAGGTCAGATTTTCTTCATCTGTTTCAAAGAAAACAACACAATGCAATGGATGAAAAACTGAAACAGTCATAAGAATCCAGAAATCCTCTGCTGAGGTTGTCATTAGAGTTTTGCAAAAATGTAGCCAATGCCACTCTCCGACTCAATTTTTCTGTTTTGGAAAATACAGTTATTTTTAATTACAAATATTTGTGTTAATATGTTGGTTTATTATTTCTTAATGACTTAATCATTATTTAATTTTTTCTCAGCTTTCATTTCTCTTATGGTAAATATCAGCAGCTGTTACTGACATACAAAAGAAATCTCTTTGGGGTTCTCAATAATTTCTAAGAGTATAAACGTGTCCTAGAACAAAAAGTTTGAGAATCACTGTGTTAAACAAGTACTTTAGTCCCCACGACAACTGGCTAGGTATGCAGTGTTACTATCCCATTCTGCAGTTGAGAAAACTGAGGAACAGAGTGGCATAGTAACTTGCTCAAGGTCACCCAGGAAGTAAGGAGACTGGCGTGGAGACTCCAGCCCGTGTCATGATGCACTCCTGACTATCTTGTGTCCTGGGGGTCCTCCCTGACCCTTCTAGGTCTGTGAGTTCTGCAAGGGAGCGGCCCCTGCCGACAGCCCCGTGGTCTACTCGGACAGGGCGGGCTACAGCAAGCAGTGGCATCCTGCCTGCTTCGTGTGCACCAAATGCTCCGAGCCGCTGGTGGACCTCATCTACTTCTGGAAGGACGGGGCGCCCTGGTGTGGCCGTCATTACTGTGAGAGCGTGCGGCCCCGGTGCTCGGGCTGTGACGAGGTGAGAGCGGAGGGGCTTGACGGCGGGGGGGGGGCCCCACAACAGTGGGACGGGACCCAGAGGCCCCGGGGAGTGTGGCTTCACTAATGGTGTGAGCCACAGATAGGAAAACTGAGGCTCAGATCTCCCTCCATGCTCTCAGCCTCTCTTTCCCCATCTGCAAAATGGGGCAGAAATGAGTTCCTGCCCCTGGGCCTGCTGGGATGGGTTGGGCACAGAGCACCTGTCAGGACCTCTCCTGGGCACAACACCCGGCACTGAGTGAGAGCCCCGAAGAGCATGATGGGTTGTCCGCCGGGAGGCAGACTGCCTGCATTCAAACCACTGCATCTGTGAGTCGTGCGGGTACCTAACTCTTGTGCCTCCGTTGTATCACTTATAAAACGGGAGGGGACCAGTGCCCATCCCAAAGACTTGCTCTGAGGATAAATGAGATCATGCGTGAAGATGCTTGGCACAGGATCGACCGAGTAACTAATAAATGGGAGCTGCTGTGAGTCTTAGGATAATGTAACACGAGATGATAGAATATAATAGAGTGACATGAACATAACACAATGCAACAGTCAGAGATGCTAGGAAAAGGGTTCAGCTCTCCAATATGGGTTCACACTAGAGCAACTCAAAGTTGTGCTAACAGTGACAATAACAGTTATGATACTGATAACTATTGTCGGCCTGCCTTTGGTGATGGGAAACTCACCACCTTCCTTTTTGGCACACACAAGGGTCAGAAATGTCCTCCTCACTTTGAGCCAGTGCCTGCCCTCTCCCACCTTGCACGTATCGGCCTCCACGTGAAGCTAAGGCCCCGTAATCCTCCTGTCTCATAACTGTGTGAGCAAGGACAAGCCTTGCTTGGTCCACCCCCTCACTTTTGCAGGGACCACAGTATGCTCGCAGGAACACCTCCTCATCCTCAAGCGCCACTGACTTTGTATGGGATGTGCTGTTTACAGATCCTACGGCCCTTTAGGGAGGGAGAACCACTCTCCACTTTACATTTGAGAAACGTGCAGTTCAGAGAGGTCAATGATCATCATACAGCATTGACTTTGTCTCTGTTTCCATTCCAAATACTCCATCTGGAGCAACACTCGTAGCACTCATAAAACCCTGCAGGATGGGTCATGTTTATGTCCCCATTCTACAGACATGGAAACTGAGGCACAGGAGGTTAAGTAGTTTGTCCAGTCATGCAGCTGGTAAGTACTTAAGTGAACACTCACACCTGCTTCCTGTTTGCCCCCCACATCAGAAGGCACATTTAACCAGTATGCTCTTCTGCTCTGCAGTCCTCACAGGTGGTCCAGATGCCCCAAAGCGTTAGTTTATTCCAAGCCCACGTGACTCTGGGTCTTCCCGCTCTTGAAGACTCCCTGTTGGCCACTTAGCTATCCTTAGGCTGTCTTCACTGGGGTGTGTAATCCTGTCTTAGAACACAACCGGGCTTTGGATTTGGCCCAAAGAGTATCACAGATGCTAGAAACGTAAAACCTGCTGATAACATAGGATTTTTTTTTCCATCTGAGAAGCTAAGATGCAACCATGACCTTCACCAAATACTGTACTGACTGCCTGCAATTTATGTCTCCACTGAGGCATTTAAAGGTCAAAACAAGACTGGGGGAGGGTGGACCACCATCTTCCAGCTTGTCCTCCACACGTGGTCGAATAGGGGCAGAATCTGAGTTGAACGTGTCTTCTGCTCCCCTCCCCAGATAATATTCTCGGAGGACTACCAGCGCGTAGAAGACTTGTCCTGGCACCGAAAGCACTTCGTCTGTGAGGGCTGTGAGCAGCAGCTGGGTGGCCGAGCATACATCATCACCAAGGGTCAGCTTCTGTGCCCAACATGCAGCAAGTCGAAGCGCTCCTGAATGGCTGTCCACCTGCAGGCGGGATCAACAGGATCCCACCAGGAAGGGGAGCCCAGTGTGCTGAGGCCATCCTAAGGATCTGGCGAGACAGCCAGCAAGCAACAAAAACAGTGCTCTTTTTTTCAGCAGGAATATATATCTCTAAGCATATTCTAGGTTGGGTGGTGGTGGATCCTTGAGGGTCAAGTTTGAAAGCCAGAGATGCTCTGAGAAGCCTTAGGATGGAGTTATTGTGTTTTTGTTGTTGTTGTTTCCCAGCCACCAGCTAAAGACCTAGGTGACATCCTGCAAGGGATCGCTGGGAGGAGTTTACCAGAATTCAACTCTGAGTGGTCAAATCATGTAGCTGTAGACCGTGCGTGAACGTGGGGGCTCCTCGAGGAGCAGCCTGGGATCCCAGCAACCATTTGTTGCCTCCTTTTCAAGTGGAATTGGAATTTTAAATCAAAAAAGTTTTGGCATGAGAAACATATCAATAAAAATTTTATGAAGTTCATGTATATCCTGATCTCATTATTGACACCTGGCAGTGATTTCGGGGCATCTGTTTGGCCCTAGGACCCTGAATGCTGGTGCTGGCAGATGGCATTCTCAGTACCGGTGTGTCTCTTCATCAGTTGTGTCTCATCAGACTTCTTTGGGGACTGTAGGTCCTGGGGGCAGAACCCCCATCCCTCAGTTCCTGGTACCCCCATGGCACTGACAGAAACTTGAGTGTCGTATTTCATGGGACACTGAAGAGCTGCCTCCTGGGAACTGATGAGCCGCCTGGGGAGCAAGGACCCAACTTAGCGGATCTCAGAGCCCAGGCAGGTAATGAGTGAACCACTCTGAAAGGCAGACCAGGGAGAGTGTTCGGAGCAGCCAAACAGGACCACCTGAGCTCAAGCAATGGGTGCCACGAGGGACACGGGGACCAGTGCAGGCAGACCTGAAGATAGATTTTATGAGAAATTGCTCCATTTTTTAAATGTTGCCAGCTGAATACAGAATGATTCAAATGGAATAAATAGCTCTTTGGGCGAGATTCTCTCTCTTTTTATGGCCACTCTGAGTATTTACAGCCCCTGAATTTGTTTCCTTCCCACACTTTCTGAGAAAAGACATTTCTTTTTCTCCTGGGGACATAAGGGTGAAACATCACGGGTCTTGGGAGCCACAGTCCTGGTCACTCATGACCTTCTCTCTTTCTTAAACATCCCATCTATTGCCCAGTTCCTTTCACTCCACCACCCAAATTTCACTCTCATCAGCTCACCTACGCGACCCCCGTTCACGTGCCTCGCAAGTTTGATGAAAGCTACTATGCTATCCGCCCAAGGTGGTTTTGTTCCCAGCTTCTCTCTCCAGCCCCCTCGATTTCTCTGACACGCCCACCTTCTCAGAGAGAAGCTTTAGGGCCCATCCTTCCTGGCTCCACACTGCCTCTTAAGTGAAGAGCCAAGTCCCCACCCTGACATGTGAGTCCTTCCAACACAGGGCTTAATTGTCTTTCTGGTCTTAAAACACTTCATTGCTCTGGATTTCTGTTTCCCAATTTCTCTTCAAAATTCAGAAACTCCTTTGGATCCAGACCACTCCCCTTCTACCTTGTTCTGTGCTGGTTACTTGAAGACAAACTTCTTCTACTGAAATTCTATATGTCCTAAGCTGCTTCTCAGTCCCTTCCTGAAGTACCAATGGAATGTTCACTCCCTTCCTCCCTCCCTCCCTCCCTCCCTTCCTTCCTTCCTTCCTTCCACAAATATCCACTGAGCCCTAGAGTTCCAATTCCCATGCTGAGTGCGGGGGGCTCAGTGCCCACAGATAGAACATCACCCCTAGACTTGGCTGTCTGTGCAGGAGATGGGCTTTGGGCAAATATTCTCACAAGACGATGTAAAATTATAGCTACTGCAGATGCTCTAAAGGCCAGGGTGGAGAAACATGTCCCTATAAAGCAAATGAGAGAGACTGGACCTATTGAGGGATGCCAGGAAAGGTGCTCCTGGAAAAGTGACACCTGAACTGAGATCTAATGGACAGTAGACTCTGAGTAGACAAAGAGGGAAAGGAGGATGGTCAAAGATGGATGCATGGATGTCATGTGCAAAGGCCCTGTGGCTAAAACAGCACCAGCTTATTCAAAACTAATTGCTGTTGGAGAGAGTGGTGACCATGCCCCATGAACGGTTGGTATGGCAGGTCTAGGGAGGGAGGATGGACGCTGAGGCACAAGAGGTTCACCAGCTTTGTGAGCAACAGAAAAGACAAGTCTCTGTCCTAGAAGCAAGGGGGAGCCTTTAAAGACTTTAAAGCAGGGGTTGGTGATGGCTGGACAGAGAGATTATCAGGTACATGACCTCTCCTCTGCTGAAACCATAGTGTGATACCTGATTGATTTTGTCCTGGTGACTTTGACCACACCATTGTGGGTCGGAGTGACGTCCCCACTGGACCCCACCCAGAGCACACTCCTGCCTTCCCAGGGTCTACCACATGAAACCTGCCTTGCACTTGGAACCCCTGAGTCCTCTCAGATACCCCTCCTCCCACCTGATGATCACTCAGTGCAGTCCCTTCTCTCCCACACCTTTCCTTCCATCCCCAAGGCTATGTTTGACCTTGAACTTTTTCTGTCTAGAATGACAACAGTCTCATAGTGAGCCTCCCTGCCATGACCTTACCCTCTCCACCCACCTCTCAGATGGGGTCCTCAGCAGCACAGACCTCCCCATGCACTCTCCTCTCCAAAACACTCAGGGGCTCCCTGTGCACACACAGGAGAAAGTCAAAGCTTCTTAGCTTTGCCTTCAAATTGTTTAATTTTCCTGGCCCCAACCCGCCTTGCTGTCTGCTCCCCTTTCAGAAGCCAAGTGCACTGCGTGCAGGTCTCTCTGCACATCCCACACTTTCCCCACCTCTGCGCGCTGCTCCAGCTGTTCCCTTTCCCTGCAGTTCCCTGCACTGGGCTCCATCGCTGCCTCTTCCATGGGGCTGCCCTAGCTGAGTGAGTCCGTACCAGAATTGGAAGGAAATGGGCTTTTAAATGTTACAGTGTTGGGGTGGGGAGCGTAACAGCTCAGTGGCACAGTGGAGTGCTTAGCATGCACAAGGTCCTGGGCTCAATCCCCAGTACCGCCATTAAAACAAATGTTACAGTGATTACTGTGATCAGTTGAACTGATTCGACCGTGGTATATAATTATTAGTTTGAGAAAGGCTCCCTGATGCACTTCTTGAGGGAACAGTCTCATGATCTTTAGTCTCCAATCCTCAGAACAACACCTAGCAACTCAATGAAGGAACAAACAGCCTAGGGCCCTTGGATGAATCACTGTCGCTAATGGCACTGGGTTCCAAGAAAGCCTAAGTGTGAACACTTCAGACCAAGGCAGACAGGTTGGCTGCCTCTGTGTTACCATTCTCTGCCCCATTTCCTTCTTCTCTGTGGGACAAGCCCACTTCCCACAATACACACTCACTTTCCCAGCCTCTTTGGCAGCTGGAGAAAGGGCACGTGACTCAAGCCTGGCCAATGGTGTTTCACCATTGGGGAGCAGCTTAGAAAAGTTCTCTTCTTTAATGAAAAAAAAATGCATTGGAGAAAAGTCTTACTTTCTCTTTCTTCTGCTATAATTTCAAACTAGAAAAAAAAGTTATGAGAAGAGAACAAAGAATCTGTCTTCTTGAACCACTGGAGGGTGTTGCTGGCACAATGCCCATCGCTCCTGAATATCTTAGGGTGTAATTCCTACAAACGAGGGCATTCTCCTCCCCAACCACAAAACCACCATCAAAATTAGGGATTAATGTTCTATCACCTAATCCTCATTTCACCAATTGTCCCAATAATGTCTTTTTATAACAAAAAGATCCAGTCTGGGATTATGCATTGCGTTTAGTTATCTAGTCTCTTGAGTCTTCTTCAATTTGGAAGTGTTCCTAGTTCTTTCCTTGACATTTATGATCTCAGCATCTTAAAAGATTAAAGGCCACTTATTGCGTAGAATGTCCATCAAATTGGGTTTGTTTGATACCCTCTCATATTGAGATTCAGGTTACACATTTTCGGTAGGAAAGCCACAGAAGGGATACTGTTTTCTTTCATCGCATCCGATCAGATAATACAAGATTTTTATTTCTTCCATTAGTGTTGGTTATTAATTTTAAACACCAGATTATGCTAGATTTTCCCATTGTAAAGTTACTCTTTTTCCATTTGTAGTTAATGAGTATTTTGTGGGAAGGTACACTGAGACTACGCTAATCCTGTTCCTCATCAAAATCCCACCCACTGGTTGTTAGTATCCAATGAGGTTTCTTGACTGATTTTGTTTTTTCAATTAGAGTTGCCAAATGTTGATTCTACTCATTCAGTCATTCCTTCAATGTTTGCTAGGGTTCTACTATATGGAAAAGCTCTGTTTTCTCCCTATTTATGTATGTATTCATTTTTTTCTATCAGTTTGGAATTATGAGTTTCTATGTTACTAAGTTGTTTATTATCTGTTGTTATTATTTATTTTGATGCCCGAACTGTCCCAAATTTGGCCAATGGAAGCTCTTTTAAACTGGTGCTCTATTGACATGTTCCCATGATTTGTTGAACTTTACATTCTGGCACAGTAAGGAGCTCTCAGCTCACTGTGTACTTTCCCTGCCCCAGTTTTGGACTCAGCCATTTCTCGAGTCTCATCTTCTTAAGCTGGGTGCTGTTAGGTTGGAACTCCTGGTTCCATCTTTGAACTTTGAGACAAGAGGACCAAGCCAATAAGCTGAGGATGACACAGGTGACACTTAAAGAGAGCCTAGGTCCTTGGTTATGTCATCCAGCCAGTGAACTCACCTCTGGGCTTCTTGTTACATGAGCCAATTTCCTTCTTCTTTGCGCTGGACGATACATTTCCCCACTGTGTATTACATTTCCTCACCATATAGTTTCTCATTAGTGAGGTCTTGTTAATTGTAGCCAAAAACAATGTGACTAATACCTAAGATGTTTCCCATTTCAGCTTGAGTGGATCACACATTTCTGAGGCCATGACATTCCTTGTTTCATTTGGATGTTTAATCAAGTCTCCGGGGGACACAAGAGAGAATGACATGAGCTCTTGACTCACTGGGTTATCAGACTTTGGCTCCAAAAGTTTGGCTTCAAACATGAGAATGTTCCATGCAAGTAGAGACAGTACAACAGCATGTGTGAAGGTTGTTCACACACCCCTGCCTTGAATGAGCCAAGACCAGAGACGATGCTGTTGAAAGAAGAAGTGCGCTTGCCCCTGTGTCTCAACCACCATTTGTGTTCAGTCAGATTCTACTAGTCTGAAGCAAAATGATCTCTTGGTCTGATTCTCTCATTTCTATGATATTAGCACCTGTAGGCATCCAGCACATGGTGTTTTTTGGTCTGAGTCTGGGACAACACCGGTTCTTTAACAACAGAAAGGATGTGGACTTACAGGCAGAAGTGTTGTCCAGCCAGTATTATCCAAGTGAGAGAAGTCCAAGGCAAACCAGTTCAAACTCAAAAAAAAAAAAATTGGAGGGAATCCACATTCTAGAATCTTCTTTCTAGTCAGAAAGTCCAAGAGAAGGGCCATCCTTAGGGACAACTGGATCCAGCAGTTCAAATTGTGTAGCTGAAAACCTGCTTCCTTTCTCCATCTCTCCCCTCTGTTTTCTTCCATGTTGGCTTCATCCTCAGGCAGGTGCACCTGCGGGGGGCAGCAGATGTGGCCACCAGACCCAGCTAAGGTCACTTCTGCCCTTGGAGCCAGTGAGCCCAGTCAAAAGGGAGCGTCTTTCTCAGGCTTTCAGGGAATGATGATGATTGGCCAACGTGGGTCACGTGTCCATCCCTCGACCAATGACTGTGCCCAGACAGCCGGGGTAGCCTGACAGGCAGTGCCTGGATCACATGCCAACCAGCCAACCCCTGAGGGGAGGAGAAGAGATTTGAAAAGACAGTCGCATCTAAATGACAGGAAAGAGGCCTCTTGTCAAAAAGAGAGTCCCTGTTAGAACTGGAGGTGGCAAAGAGAGGTGTCCTTCTGGACAAAGAGAGGCGAGGGTGGATAAAACTGCAGGGGCAAAGCACAGAGAGGGAGCAATCTGGGAAACTGGAAGAGAACCAGCCCAAGGAATCTAAGGACAAAGACAGCCCTGGGACTGGGGAATGCAGGCTCCTGAGGGTCCTGGGAGGGGTGCCGCAAACAGCCAGGGTCCAGGAGCCAAGTCACAACGCTCATCTTGAAGTAATTATCCTGCTACTAAAAAATCTCATCTGTCTTGCTATTTTTTTAATTACTGGCAACAAAAGGCAGATGCCTTTAAGGTCTAAATAAAATGGTATTCCCTAAAGGAAATGTTGAAAGGGTTTTATTGGGACCTCTGTTTTGTTTTTTTTTTTAATTCTATGAAAGATGATGGAGACTTGCTAAACTGTTCTTAGGGGAAAGTTTAATAAATGTGAAGGTTGTACTTGCATGAGTTCAAATATGGAAAGTTTTAAAATAGAAGAGTGACACAAGCCGCTAATGATCCCAATGTGCTAGATCATGCAGGCTCCTGGCACGGGTTCTGGTTTTTAATCAAATATATAAATTATGAAATATTGTTGCAAAGAATCACAAGCCTTTGCCCTACAAGGGAATAGTTTGTGCTCGGTTGACAGGAGAGCTCTGTGGAGTTCATCTTCAGCTGATAAGGGGAGAAGGAGCAGGAGCCAATGGATGGGCAGGCATCCTTGGCCAATGCGAGGGGACCATCTGGTGCCAAAGCCAGACAGAAGAATATCCTCCAGCCAAAGCCCCAGGCCAAGGAAGAAGGTGTTTGTTCAATACGTTGTGTGGTCCCCTCTGCAGGGGAGGTGTCCGTGACATTTTGGGCCAGAGTTTGCAAACACTGAGCTTTCAGCTTCCTCCCACTCAAAAGCCACCCATCTGCTGCCTCTGCTTCAAGGCTCAGCAGGAACTCTGCCTCCTCCAGGCAGACCTCCAGATGTTCAGAGACTCAACCAACCACGTGACTGACGTGGCCTTTGAACGGATCGTACTTATATCAGACTCCACGGTTTGTCTTCTGAACAACAGGCAACTCACTCCCTCACTAGTTCATTCTTTGATCCATTCATTCACTACGCATTTACCCAGCACTTGCCACGCCCCCAGAGCGGTGCCAGGCCTAGGAAATACAACAGTGGACAAAGGAGACATGGTCCCTGCACCACAGGAGTCAAACTCCATCAGAGGAGAGTAACAAATAACAATTATCTGCTCAGACATGCCCGCATCCCAGCAGAATCCCAGCTTGACTTCCCTCCCAAGATAGCCATAGCCTCCTCGCAAACAGGCCACCAGCAGGCCTGGTCTTTCTGAACTCACCTGCCAAATAGATCCCACACACGTGGCAGTGCAGCGTCACCCCTGACCGAGCGGGTAGGGGAGCGCAGTGCAATTCTAAACCAACTCGACTGTGTCGCTCAGATAAGTCATCTCACTTTGTTCCTAGGGTTCTCCCTTATAAACTGGGGACAGCAATATCATTTGCCTTATAGGGTTGTTCTGGGGATTAAATGGACGTATGCATGCTTAAAGACCTGGGGCAGCTCCTGGCACACAGTAAGTGCTCAGGAAGTACCTACCAGCCTTCAGCATCACCGTTGCTGTGTCACCTGACAGTGGACCCCGGAAGAGGATGGCTTAATTGCAGTCTCCTCTACTCTTAGAAAGAGGTTTTGGTTTGTTTGTTGGGTTTTTTTAAACTGCAGCAAAGTCAGTTACAATGTGTCAATTTCTGGTGTACAGCATAATGTCCCAGTCATGCATATATATATACATATTTGTTTTCATATTCTTTGTCTTTAAAGGTTATTATTATAAGATATTGAATATAGTGCCCTGTGCTATACGGAAGAAATGTATATTTTTATTTATTTTTATATACAGTGGTCAACATTTGCAAATCGGAGTTTGAGATTTGCAAATGTTTTTGGTTTTTTGATTTTTAAAAAATTCTGTAAGTTTTTTAAAGTCCATCAGTAAACTTTGCTTATTTCTAATCTATGTAAGACCTCCTGGCAAATGCCCCGGTGTGGCCAACCTCCTCACTCAGACCTCTCAGCATCCTGCTTCACACACATACACACACACACACACACACACACACACACAGAAGAGACGAGGGATGGGCATGAAGCTGGCCAGATGCCAACAGCAGGGGCCAAGCTGCTGGTCTGGCCACTAGTTACTTCACTTTTTAACACACCAGCAAAACACACTGTAGCTCTGACTGTTCTGTGGGCGACCAGGTTGCATCTGCCCAACCGAAGACCAGGGGTCGGCAGAGTAAAGGGCTGGACAGTAGATATTTTAGACCTTTCATGCCACGTGGCTTCTGCTGGAACTGCTCACCTCTGCTGTGGACAGGCAGCCCCAGACAACAGAGCAACAAAGGGTACACCGGGTTCCGATGAAACTTCACTGGAGGGCGGCCCGACGTGGCCAGGGAGCCGCAGTTCACCAAGCCCTGCCCTAGCTGACTACACAAACAGGGCTGGGGGACAGCCTCTATTTATACCGTCACTTCTGAAACAGGATTTTAAAAACACAACGTGCCTTTTGCCTAGTCCGTAAAGTGCTGTCCTCTGTGAGTTATAGAGAGGGAGCATGGAGGTTCACTATCTTGTTTCCTCGGCTCCAAAGTACACACCAAGTAGGGGAGGGGTAAAGCTGAGTGATGGAGCATGTGCGTAGCGTGCACAAGATCCTGGGTTCAAACCCCAGTACCTCCATTATAAATAAATAAATAAACCTAATTATCTTCCACCACTCCCAAAAAAAATGTTTTTAATTAAAAAACACACACACATTAAAAGAAAACCACATTCTGAGAATGGGGATTCAGCTCAGAGTAACGATGTACACTTACTGTGGGAGAGTTCCACCCTCCAGCCCCCAGTAAAGTTGTCACTTAAGTGGACGTCATGCAAACTGAGCTAAAATCCATGGACGAGGTGACACCAGATCAGTGGAAACCACCCCTTCCAACCACAACCCTACTCTCCCCAAAGCAGCTTTCCTACCGTATATGATCAGTGTAATTTTCCTAAAGGAAATCAATTCAGTATTGACTGAATTATCACAAACTCCAAATGAGGAAGTGGGTCACATATATACTCATTTTTTAAAGAAAGCATTTTTTCCCCAAATCAAACGATTATTGAAATGGGGGCCTAGAAGGAAATGCCAAACATTCCAGGTGAAACACCACAGCCTAAAACGAAAACACCTAATTTTGGAAGACGGAACAACAGGTTACCCGGCTCCAGAGACACATCCTGCACACTAATGAGAAATCAGAAAAGACCTGGCAGTCCACCGCTGGCCTCTGGACGCCAGCATTTCTTTTGACTCTTATTTCTTCTTCCATGTTCAGAGGCTCAAGTGCTTTCTGATGGGAGCACGTATCTGTTTCAGTTCAGTTGTTGCTAGACTGCCCATCTGCCAGGTAGGGCGAGATCTTCCAGATTTTGCCCAAAACGTGATTGCCTTTCATTGTCCAGCAAGGGACTTGCACTTGAGATTGCACACATGGCCCTAAACATCGGCCATCGGTTTCCTAGGGAGAGTGACCTGGGGACCAGTCTCACTCTGCTCACTCTAGCAAACTTCTTTCTATCCCAAGGGCAAGCCCACTTCCAAAGGTTTTATGACACCATGTGGATCCTCCATGCAAGGAAACTTTCCAAGAGGAAAGAAAATAATATGAAACAGAGCAAATGTGAATGTTGTCTGTTTCATTTATAATGCAGAATTAGAGCTACTTTCTAGAATTCTTAAGAATTAGGTGACTCTTTTTCCTTTTCTTTCTTTTTTACCTGCAGGTAACCAGGTGGTGGTCTGCATGACTATTCCAGTGACTACATTAGAGTCACAGGTAGCATCTGGTTTCCTACCTATGAGGAAGAAGACGGGTTGTCACCCCCTCTCCCAGATAAGTTGAGGCCAGACATCTGGTTCCTTCCCCTCTTCTGCAAACATTCTAGCTGCAGTGTTGCAGGAAAAGGTTTAGGAAGAAGAAACACAGCTCACACTGAACCCCAGAACCAAATGACCCATTGGAGGAATCAGTCCTGGTTGCTACTTAGAGGAAATCTGAGGTTCCTGGCAAATAGGACACCACTCTGAGGCTCTGCTCACCACACCCATCTCTCTGCAGCCCTGGTATCTGGGCCCTGGTTGCAGACTAGTGTAAAGGAGGAAAAAAGTTCTTTTTCCCTCTATCCATCTCAGGTTCATTGGCAAAGGACCCCCATCAAACTAATGAAAGAAAGATTAACAAGAGGAAAAATATTTTAATTGCATATTCATGCATGGGAGTTCACAAAGAAAACTGTGGCTCAAGGAGGCAGACAGATGAATGAGGTTCCTAGATCGTCTTAGGCTAAACAAAGGACAAGGCCGGTGGGCTTCTCGGAGGAGGAGGCAAGTTTGAGCAAGATAACAGGGAAAAGTACAGTAAACGAGGGCTGTTTAGGAGGGTTTGTTAGGCTGAGTTAAGTGCCAGCTTTCTCCATTCATACTACTCAGCCATAAAAAAGAATGGAATAATGTCATTTGCAGCAATATGGATGGACCTAGAGATTATCATACTAAGTAAGCCAGAAAGAGAAAGAAAAATACTATATGATATCACTTATATGTGGAATCTAAAAAAAAAAAAAGACACTAATGAACTTATTTACAAAACAGAAACAGACTCACAGTCACAGAAAACAAACTTATGGTTACCATGGAGGAAATTGGGGAGGGAGGAAATGGAAGTTCAAGACTTGCAGATACTAACTACTATATATAAAATAGGTAAATAACAAGGCCCTACTGTATAGCACAGGGAACTACATTCAATATCCTGTAATAACCTACAATGAAAAAG